TATTTTTAAACATAAAGTCACTTTTTAATGTATCTGAGCCAGCCTTCAGTTTGTGGAAGCAGGTTTCTGAATCTTTGGGGAATAAGAAAGATACTGTAGAATAACATCAGTTAAAGTAGATTAAAAAAACAATTCTCTGTAAATATATCTACACATATCCTTCAAAGATGCAGTCAGACCACTATATGGGTATTATTTAATACAGTAAAGAAATTTGAAGACAGATGTGATGGTACATGCCAAAGAATCCCGGGTTCTCTGAAGGCAGCAATGAGGAGGAGGACCACAACTTGAGAACACCCTGAGAAAAAATTTTAACAAGACTCCACCTCAGTACACAAACTAGGCACATTAATGTAAGATATTTTGTTCAGGAAGCTGGAGGTCCTGAATTTAAACCTCAATATTACAGAAAGGAATATCAGAACGTACATATTTGAGAGAGTTGGAGGCATGGCTTAGTTGGCAGAGCATTAGCCAGTGAGTGAAAGCTTCAGATCAAAAATTCAAAATTGGTCTCAGATGGAAATATGTGTGTATGTATGTATGTATATACATGTATGTACATATATATTTGAAATGACATCCACTTCCATACCAGAAATCCATTGAGAAGTTATATGTAACAAATCTCAGGTTTATAGGAATAATCTAGAATTTTAAGACTTTACAAATTTTATGAGCTTATCAATATTAGCTTTATATCCTTCAACATAATCCAAGAAACAATGGTAAAATACTGATGCCAATGTTGCAAGCCTCAAAACAAGTAAACACAAATGCTCTTCTAAGGCGAACATTTCCCTGCTTAGTGTGTTTTGGTTAAACAATCCTGTGTGACATCTGGTAGAGAAGTTTGTGTGGAAAGTATTTGTCAGGAATCTGCACAACATCTGTAGGGAAATCCAAGACCTGACAGCCAGTCCACTAACAGTCAGTCACTTGAAACAAAGTCACGTATGCCAACTCTTCTACTCTATCCATTCATATGCTACTTGTTGTCATAATTTATAAAAATTACTATGATTAGTAAAAATGAGCTAAGTACTTCAGACAATATTATATCACACCAATCCATGTTTCAATTTCTGTAACTGTGCCAGTTAGTTCAATTCATTTAAATCAAGAGTCAAAAAATGGTGGTGTTATAACTAGTTTTCTTTCCCTCTAGGACTGTGTGTGTGTGTGTGTGTGTGTGTGTGTGTGTGTGTGTGTGTGTATGCAAAACACCTGTATGCAGGTCATTTATTGGAAAAAAATGTAGACCGTGGAGAATGTCTGTTCTGTATTTGGCTGACTGCTTCATTTGGCGAAATTAAATTTGTTGCTACACCATTTATTTTAAAGGGATATTAAAATTAAGAATGTTTATTAGGTTCATTTTTAAGTATTTTATGAAGAACTCTGCATGGATGGGCATGGACCAGTCATATTCAATCTGGTGCCCCAAGGTAACTGATTAGAAGGCATTTCCTGCTTTCCTTCTTGATTTATAGAAATTTGTGTGGTGTTAGGCTGGTTATTCTATTTTAAACAACCCACTACATTGTTGCCTAATGATTTGAATAGTCATTGAAATCAACACCATTAGCTTTTTCTGAAAAACAATAAAAAATCTAAAATCATGACTTTCAAATTTTATTCCTTTTTTATCCTTGATATCTTATGATCTTTCCTCTCTCATTTACTGTTAGATGACTCTGAAATATAATTCATAAAGAAAATTAAATGATGGCTTCTGCCTATAAACAAGCTAATTGGGAAATGGAGATAGGGAAAGACCATAGTTTAAGAATAGGCAAATGCATACACACACACACACACACACACACACACACACACACACACACACACACACACACACACATATATGCGTGAGAGAGAGAGAGAGAGAGGGAGAGGGAGAGAGACAGAAAGATCCTTCGTCACTTACACAATAAAAAGAGATGCAATGGCACACATCTGTCATCCTGGGTATGTGGGAAGTGTAAGTAAGAGCATCAAAGTCCAAACTGGCCCAGGCCAAAATTAAATTAAATAAATAAATAGAAAAGACCCTCCCTCAAAAATAACCAAAAGTACTGGGGCATGGAACAAATGCACATCTAGCACATATAAGGCCCTGAGTTCAAATAGTAGAAGCAACAATGAAAGAAAAGACAACAGGAGGGCAGAGCAGAGGAAAGGACAGGGGAAGGAATGAGAGGCAAGGTGGAGCACAGTGGGGAGGAGGCATAAGGAGACAAGATGTGGTCTTTCAGGCCTGTAAATGCTTGAGATGTGGAAGGAAGAAGATTGTGAGTTTGATGCCAGCCTAGGTAAATCCATGAGACCGTATCTAAGAAAGAAATTGAACCAAGAAGGGGAACTGGCGGTACAGCCTCAATGATAAAGTACTTGCCTAACAAATATTACACAAAATTTAAAACATTACAATATTGCAAAACCTCAACATAAACAAAGTAATCGTTTACCAATGAAAGCCACTTCAAATTACTTCCTTTGCCCTTTGGAGATCACATGACTAGCCATTGGTACCATTGTTGTGTTCTTCAAAACTAAACCACCACAAGATTCATCATGTCTTCAACTCTACCATGTATCCAATAAATCTGAGCTCCCTTTCAGAGAATAAGGTTTTCTATTTAAAGAATATTTCATAATTAAAATGCCAGCTAAATTACAGTTAACTTACTACAACTGCAAAGGACAATGGTTTTAAAAGGGAAAACATTTCAATGTAAATTGGTAATCCAAATTAAGATTAAATGTTTGTACTTCATTTTTTTTTCATTGAAGCTAACTCATGAGAAATTTTGGTTCTAAAACAATTACTGATATATTGTTGACAAATCTTTTATTAAGTTATAGTGAACATTTTCATGTGCTGATTGATACTGAGACTTGAATTCAGAACCTTTATCTTTTGTCTGGCTCTTCATTCATTGCTAGAGCTCTACTACTTGGGCCACATCTCCATTTCCTATTGCATATTTTTCTGTTTTAGTTTTAGTTTTATCATTCCATCTGGCTTCATACATTTGGCCATACTGTAAAACCTATTCTAGATTTGGGCTTAATTTAGTTAAAAATATAACATGGAAGGATACAGTAGTAGTTTCTAGAAACCTCCTGCTTTGCATTTCACAATTTATTGCTTCTTTGTTTCATTGTATGCATTTTGAATTTCTTCTAGGATATTGCTATGATAAATGATGCTTAGGAAGCTATTTTGTTAATTCAACTTTGAGATAGATTCCCAGAACTGTGAATTCTCTGGAAGGTAATGTTTCTAGCTCTTCCAAGAGTCTAATGTTGGTAGTGCAGCTTTGTACCTTCCTTGCAGAAATGTATGAAAATATGATTCTCCACCACTTCATTTAAAGATATGTCATTAAACTTTGGATGTCTGTCATTCCTATAAGTGAGAAAAATAATACAAAGCAATCTTTAAATGTTTCTATTAGTATGAGTCATAGCTACCTGTATTTCATAAAACTATTTATATGTCTGTCGTATAGGAGTGTTATTTTTACACTATTCAGTGAAATATGGCCAGTGAATTTCTCCAGTTTTTAATTTGTCATGTTAAGTTATTTTCTATAGGTTAGCAGAGAAATATATTTTTAACCACGGTATCTAAATTTTAGGCTTTCTTCTAAAACTCTCTCTTCATGTGTAAAATTTTAAACTATTTATATGTCTGTCATATAAGAGTGTCATTTTTACACTATTCAGTGAAATATGGCCAGTGAATTTCTCCAGTTTTTAATTTGTCATGTTAAGTTATTTTCTATAGTTTAGCACAGAAATATATTTTTAACCACGGTATCTAAACTTTAGGCTTTCTTCTAAAACTCTGTCTTGGTGTGTAAAATTTTAAAAGCAATTTATTTCCCATAGAAAAATATGTATCAATATGACATTGTTTAAACTACAGAAACTTCTATAATTTACTGCTTGCTCAAATTTGCTTTAGTATTAAATATGATTAGAAAATATTTGGTTTTGTTTCATCTATATGAAAATATTAGAAAATAAAAATTGAAATGTTTCCTCAATATTCCCTGATAAAATTTTGTATTTATTCTTACAGGCTTACAGAAATTTTTATATCTAATGACTCTAGCACTACAATAATATTCAAATGCTATCTAAAAACTCTGAAATGACTCCATTGATTGTCCTTAATGAAAGTCAAAATGATCACATTAATTCAGAAGTCATTGGTGACTGTACTATATCATTTTATGTGTTTAGATAGTATAACTTTTCCCACATATATCATTTTATGTGCTTCCACTTGGTACTTAGCAAGACTTTATGTTTATGGCTTATAATAAAAATACATATTGTTAGATGTAAAAAATTATCAGAATTACTGTATAGGAAAGGTATTACATCTGCAGTCAGCAGTACATTTGTTTAAGTCATACCAGTCTTTGCGCAAATAGTACCTTAAGCATCTATATCATTATCTACCCAATAGATATAGTTGTCCTTATACTGTGTGTTTCTCAATATGACATCACTGTCTAGAGTTCAAGGCTTTCTATTCATAGAATTCACACAAGCATGAAGGTGACAGGAAAGATGCCTTCCTTTCCTAGCATCCATTGCCACACACTATAAACACCTGCATCTCCCACCAAAGGTGATTTATGGTGCCTAGCTCTTGAAAGTCTGGGGTCTCACTGCCATTCACATGAGTAATCAGAAAAATATTTTCTGTACCATCTATTGTGTTTTGAAGGGTTTGTTGTTGTCATGGTTTTAATGTGTTTGTTGCTAGAGCATTCAAACAGATGTGTGGTGGATGAAAACCTGGGCGAAGTCGCTCCAATATGAAATTCTTTACCTTCTTTAAGAGATTTGAGTTTATCCGTGTATGAATCACAGTAACCTGCCAAAACCCTCACACAAATATAGGCTATAACTTTTACAGCCTTTCCGTCTCTCTTCCCACTATTCATTAGGATTGAAAATATTTCGAGAGTGGCTCAGTGCCATGGACTTTTGGTGGCCAGGAATTTCTGGAAAACCTCTTTCACGTCTTTGTTTCTCAGGCTGTAGATCAGAGGGTTCAGCATGGGGTTGACGACCATGTAGAAGACGGAGGCCACTTTGACCACGTGGCGAGAGTTTTTCGAGTTGGGCACACAGTACAGGGACAGGATGGTCCCGTGGAAGATGGTGATGGCGGTCAGGTGGGAGGCACAGGTGGAGAAGGCTTTGCGCCGCCCGCTGGCAGAGCGTATTTTCAGCACCGTGACAAATATAAACACATAGGAGGTGAGGATGATCAGCAGCGTACTCACCTCATTGAAGGTAGCAAAGCAGAAAAGGAGCAGGTGGGGCGTGTGGATGTCAGAGCTGGAGACGGTGATGAGGGAAGTGTATTCGCAGAAAAAGTGGTTGATCACATGAAATCCAGAGAAGTTGAGCTGCAGTGCGTGGCAAAGGAGTACCAAGGGACAAAATATACCCCAGATATATGAACCAGCCACTAACAGGGTGCAGCGCCTCTGTGACATGGCCACGGTATACAGGAGGGGATTACAGATGGCCACAAAGCGGTCATAGGCCATTACAGCCAACAAGTAAGATTCGGTCACCACGGCCATGCAAGACAGGAAGAATTGCAGCATGCAGCTGGCGTAGAAGATGCTTTTATCCGTCATCACCAAGTTCTCTAGCAGCTTGGGTATGATGATGGAAGAGTAATAGAAATCAATAAATGAAAGATGACTAAGGAAAAGGTACATGGGGGTGTGAAATTTGGGGTTCGTCTTGATGAGTATGATCATCCCAAGGTTTCCTACCACCGTGAGACTGTACATGATCAGAAACACCAGGAAGAGAGGGATCTGCAGCTCTGGATAATCTGCAAAACCTAAGAGGATGAAGGTTGTCTCCACACTCAGATTTCTTGCAGTAATCACCATCATGGCTCTTAACGGGCAGATAGAGTAGAAGAGAATTATCCCTGGCAAATATAACAGTGATAAGACTGAGAAACAATTCGGCCTTGAATTTCTACAATCAAAGCCAGCACATAGGTGATTAAAAATATTTGCACCTACTGTATGTAAATACATAGAGAAATGAACCTACTTGAAAAAGTGTGATATATTTGCCTCACACAGCAATATATATATATATATATATATATATTATTGCTGTGCTTCATTTACTTATAAATTTAAATTATTAGAAGAATTTTTCTATTTGGAGATATAAAAATGTTATAGAACATTTATAGAACATTATAGAAATGTTACAAAATGTTACATTACAGAAATGTAAGAAAAGGGCTGAGCAATTCCATTCTTCCAACTTTCATTCTATAAACTCTAATGCACTCATAGAATTCTATAGTTATGAGAGAATTAAGACACTTTCTTTTGACCTCTGGTTGCAATCAGAGCAAATAAATTATCTCTTGTATAATCTGGTAGTTGATGAGACTATGGTAAAATATTTCTATGACTTAAGCTTCTCTACTTAATATTATTTATCTCAGAATTGGGTAGCATCTGAAGTGATTTCACATGGAAAGACATATACATCTGCAGTGACTTTACATAGAAATATCCAAGAAAATCCTAGTTGTAAGAGAAGAATGTTATTACCATTATGTAGGAAATGTGAATAAATTTACCTGCTACCCAGAAACAGGCCATTACCCCTGTTTCTCTGGAGATTGAGTGTGAGAGAGATTCAAAGACTTTCATATACTTCTCTCTAATGCCCTGGAGATGCTAACTCTAGAGAATACTAGCAAATTATTCCTCCACAGCATCAAACAAGCAATTATGATGAATGCCATGTCTTTGATACCATCTTTAATGATTTAAATTCCTTCAAATTGCACAAAATGATAGAGCATGAAGTCGACTATCGATTATTAGGTTTTGTTAATACACAATTAAAATATTATCTTATCTGTATTAAATATTAAAATGAAACTCAAATACTGTCTCACCTTACTCCAAAACTCAGGAACCCTTGGGATTTTGGCGGGAGCATGCACCAATTTTAAGCATTACTCCTACCTACTTACAAAATGAACCAAATGTTCTCCATCGATGTGAATCCCTAAACGAGAGAAAGCTCTCTGTCAGCTCCAGCCACCATTTCTAAATGGTTATTTGTAATGCATAGCCCAGCATATCTGATGGCGCTGGAGATGTATTTGGCAAATAGAATTTATTCAGAACATTGGATATACCTCACAAGCAATTATAGACAAACACATCAGGATTTTAAAGCAATAAAATAACTTCTTCTGCCAATAACTATTCACTAAATTGAGAAGCAACGCTTGGATGTTAAACAAAATTAGTGTCAAGTGTTCACATTCTTAGACATGAGAATGTAGTACAAATGTCTATAGTCCATATATAGCCTTGCATTTATGTGTTCCTCTTGCACTGCCTAAATTCATATCCCAGAATGTAGGTATATCTGTTTTCTTCCCATTTATCTGTGTGTGTATTTATATATAGGTATTATGTATATATAGCTATATGTATATAAGTATATATTTAAATATATACTTAAATATTCAATTTATTTTATATTCATATATGCATGTTTGTATATTATATTTATTTATTTATTTGCATTTATATAAATATCCTGTTGGTCTTCTTTATCTGGTTTAATTTTTTTTCTTTAATTTTAGCTTCCTTGATGGATTAAGAAATCTCATGGTCATTATGTTTTGATAAATAGTCATTTTGCCACTTTACCTCAGACTTAGGCTTTGTTTCCTATTTTGAAAAAAAATCCTAGTCAAGTCAAATTTCACCATTTGTCAGGTCTTTTTGGTAAATAATTAATGCATAAGCACAGTGTCACAAATAGCAGTCTTAGATAAATGGGCATATATTTTTCAATCAAGACTTATTTTTTAATTATGAAAATACCATACAGAAGAGTTACAATTACATGGGCAAGGTAATGAGTACATTTCTTATCAAGCATTGTTGCCTCCTCCTTTGATTCCCCTTACCATCCCTTCCCATCTCCCTCGGCCCAAAGTTGTAAAGTTCATTTTTCGACATAACGACTTGTACATTCATGATTGCAATGGGTAGACCTGTATCCTTATTTAAATAGTTTGTTTTTTCCCTTCCCCTCTACAATTATACAAACATCAAATACAATGAAAACAGGGGTTATACAGTGGGGGAAGGACATACAAAGCAACAAAGAAACCATCTTATAAATATGTTAGAAACAATCGCAAGAAAGAAAAAAACATTTGAGCCCTTATCTTGGGGTTCATTTCACCTAACATCAACTTATTTGACCGTTTCTGCTTGTCTCAGACATACTACTTATTACAAACAAGGGAAACCATGGGACCTATGTTTCTTTGGGCCTGGCTTATTTCACTTAATATAATTTTTTTCCAGGTCTTTCTATTTCCTAAAATAGGTGGCAGTATCATTCTTTCTGATGAAAACACATAATTCCAATATATATAAACACAAACACATACACACACATATACAATATACTAAATTTTCTTGATCCATTCATCTACTGAGGGGCATCCATCTGGGAATTTACCCAGATGATCACAAACAAGGCCATACTAAAACTACCAGTACAACTATGTTTATTGCAGCATTATTCACCATAGCATCGTTTTATATGGTCATATGCACATGTCTATTGGTTTTCCTCATTTGTGATTTTATGAGCACTGGAGATTATTAAAGCATTGTGAGATTTAATTATCATAGATGCATACAAATTACAAAATTTCTGAAGAAATAGTATTCCATTATTATGAGACAAAAATATTTGAAAAATGAAACATAAAGAAATCATATTTGCAAAAGCAAAATCACTGAGAAAGGATGTCTGTGTAGTGCTGTTTAGTTATACTGAGTGAAAAATCAGCTTGATGTAGATCAACTTCCTAATAGACTCTTTGACATCTTTATTCCTGAGGCTGTAGATAAGGGGATTGAGTATGGGAATTAACAGGCTGTGGAACACAGTGGTGATCTTGACAAGGATCAATGAGCTTTTAGACTTGAGCACACAGTAGAGCACAAGGACGATCCCATGGCAGATGCCGATGGCTGTCAGGTGGGAGGCGCAGGTGGATAAGGCTTTTTGCAGGACGCCTTTTGAAGGAATCTTGATGACTGTCTTATCATTTATTATCTTCATTAATATATCTCTTCCAAATATAACAGTACATTTCATTTTCAATTCTAAGCACTATCACATCATAATATCAAATCCCAGGCTACTTTCTTCCAGAAATCTTTGGCAATTAATCCAGAATCTAAACTTATATTCTCTCATTTGTTTCCAACTACATGAATTTTAGATAAAAAAAAATCATGTAATAACTATCTGCACTATAATCTTCCCAGGAATTATTTTTAAATGAGAAAAAATGGTATCTTAATATAAGAACAAGCTAAGGATTTTAATGATGTAGGAGAGAGTTCACTACCTTGTTTCACTCTAATTCTCAGCTAAATGAGACTGACATCATGCCATTGATTTCACAGAGATATTCTTTGGACATGCTGGTCACAATAGAAACATAATAAAATATGTACATTGATAATGGAACAGAAACCTGAATGGACTTATTCATTAACGGTATTTATTAGGAAACTCATTAGCAATTAACTTCTAAAATTATGTTTGAATATAGTCTCTTTGCATTTGTGGTTAGACAATGAGTTCCATTGACAGCAGATACCAGTAATGAGGCTGAGAAAATTATTGTTTCTTAATTATAGAGCTCATCATCAGTAACACAGTAAGTATCTCAAGGGTGACTTGGGCTTGAAAACCAAATTTAGGCATCCTGTTGAGTATTGTATATCTAATTGCCTACCCTTGGGAAAAGCACATCCTAGGGCAAATTGGCTCATGTTTATCATGAGCTATAGATCTAAAAATTTGAAGAAGAATCATTTTTTCCTGACTCAGAGAAACAGGTCAACTTACAGTCTTTGAAAAATATGTAATCATTACCTCACTTATGTAACTGTAACTCTTCTGTGTATCACTTTACAATGAAATAAAATGCAATTTAAAAAAAGAAAAGAAAATTATGACCAATCTATATAAGTCAATGCATTCTGTTTTGAAAATGTGAGGGTCCCAAAGTATATACAGAGTAATCAACACTCTATTTTCCTACATTTGTTTTGGTGGGAGTTTATAATTTATTTAACATCATGTCACAAATGATTCAGATAATGTGCCCTTTACATTTAGAGGTAGGTGAATTGGTTTAAACAGTTTTCTTGTATGTAAACACACAATAAATGCTGAAACTGTTTATTAACTCAATAATTTGAAAGAAATATTTTAATATATTCTTAAAGGATCCTTATGTTTTTCTTATCAATTGAAACTTAAAATGCCTATTCATTTTCAAAGAAGCACTTAATAGTTATTAAAAATAATTATCTTTGTTATTGTTAGTATTACTGTTGTTAGTATTATTGTTATTATTGTTGAAACTCCATCAGGTATTCAAAAGAAAATATTTTTAAAAGGTTATGTACAAGGGATGGGAAGGTGACTCCGTGGTAGAGCGCTTGCCTTGCATGCATGAGGCCCTGGGTTCAATTCCTCAGCACCACATAAGCAGAAAAGGCTAGAAGTGGTGCTGTGGTTCAAGTGATAGAGTGCTAACCTTGAGCTGAAGAGCTGAGGGACAGCGCCCAAACCCAGAGTTCAGACCTCACTACCAGCAAAAAAAAAGGTTATGTAGAGTGTTGGTGGGAATGGAAATCAATATGAGTATTCTTTAAGAAATCAAAAAGGAACAACTGTCATATGATCTTTCCTTACTACAGTTGGACAAAGAGCTTAAAGAACAGAAGTCAATTTATAGTAGGTCCTCAGACTGCAGCCTCCTTAGTAGCTAGGACAGGTGTGAGCCACTGGTTATTTTAATGAAATCATAATAAACTTTTAGTTTTATTTTGCTGTCTGGTAATTTTTTTTTTACCAGATTATAAAAGGGGTTGGGGGAGTGGCCAATGGGACTAACAGGAGAGGGGAAAGGAAATTAAGGTGATGGGGGTTGAATATTATTGTTACACAGTATGTAAGAAAACAACATAATGAAACCCACTAAAACCATTAAAAGGGGGGATTAAATAATAAATAGAAAAGGATGGAACTGATCGAAGTATACTGTGTGAATTTACACAAATATCACATAGAGCAAGGGATTGGTTTTGATGTCATTTTGTCAGTAGCTTACAGTAACATTGGTGGACATACTTATGAGTAATTTTAATGAAAAAATATGGTACTTCAGAGAAACACAAAAGCACTTTTTCAGTAAACATCCTGCAACAATGGAACTGACTTATGAAGAACGATGAATTTTGAAGTATACTGCAATTCCACAATGCTTGAATTAGCTGAATATATTCCCAAGAATATATTTTTCCAAGGCTCAATTTGTAAGGATACTCACAACTTATTTTTGTGCTTTTCCTAGGTGAAACACATAATGTCTAGGATAAAATGAATCACATCATGCAGAAGCACTGCAGTTTTCTTCCATGACTCTGAATGGATCAAAAATATTTCTAGAGCCTTAAGTCAAAGATGGAAGATGGTGAAAAATATCTCTCTACAATGTGGAGAAGACCACACTTCTCAAAGACACAGCCAATGGAGAAACATAAAAGCTGGTGTGGAACTGTGCTCTCACAATGTCTCAGAACGGGGACAATAGAAAGGTTGACATTATTCAATATGTAATGTACTCATAAGTTGACATGTTGAATTGAAACCCCTTTACATAACTAATTAAAGATGAAAACCAAAAATGAAAACATTACCCATATAATATAGTTTGTTAAGTTAAAACTGAACTTTTTAGCAAATTCACTTGGTGGAAAAGTCAACCAATGATGAAGGGGTTTAAAGTAACAGCACAAAATAGGTTTCAAATAAATAAGAATGTTAATAGTTGAAAAATGATAATTACAATTCAAAAGGCTGGTAACATGACATACAAAATGATTTTAGAAAACAACGAAATAGGGCTGGGAAGGTGGCTCAGAGCTTGCCTGGCATGCATGAGGCCCTGGGTTCAATTCCTCAGCATCACATAAAGAGCTGGAAGTGGTGCTGGGGCTCAAGTGGTAGAGTGCTAGCCTTGAGCTGAAGAGTTGAGGGACAGTGCCCAGGCCATAACCAACCAGAAAAAAAAAAGAAAGAAAGGAAGAAAAGAAAAGAAAATAGTCTTTGTTTCTAAAATAGTTGCCCTAATGGACTCTTGTTATCTTCTCTTTCTCTCAATCTTTTCCTTAAAGTTCTAATGATTCTTCCCCACATTGTTCTAAATTCAGGAGAGAAGTTCCTTGGAATACTGTCTTAGAAGGCATTTTGTTTCAGTGATAGCAAAGATGATGTAACAAGTGAACCAGTGGTAAGATGAGGTCTATATTATGAGTGCTGTAGAGAAAACGCTTGTGAGTTGAGGAAAAGATCATAAATGGATTCTTGCGACCAGGGGAAGACAAATTTAAGACACAGCCTTGCATAAAGTAGAAGACTTGAAGATAGTGCCAAGAAAAGCAGAATCACCTTGCTTTGCAATACTTTTATTACACGCATTGATTAAAGTGAAGCTGTAACATGACAAGAGTTTCTAAACACAAATGTTAACTGTTTTTATTCTCATTTTCCTAACTTCATGGGAGAAAGGTTGAAATGCAGTTATTTCAGAAACTCAAATGAGAAAGCAGAATATGTGTTTTTATTAAGCAAGGATTGCTGATAGATGAACCACATGGAATAGTCAGGATTTAATACTTAGGCATTATCATATATTCACAGAAAGGCATGTGTTATCAACAATGTATGCAGCAATGAGATATGCTTAGCACATGGGCACCTATGCAATTGAGTTATAATGAGTGTGTATGCAGTTGGAATTTGATGAACCTCCTGACCGTCTCTTTCACATCTTTGCTCCTCAGGCTGTAGATGAGGGGGTTCAGCATGGGGATCATGACTGCATAAAGCACAGTAGATATTTTGACCAGAATCCAGGACCTTGTGGAGCTGGGCACACAGTAGAGCAAGAGAATGACCCCATGGAAGATGCTGATGGCAGTCAGGTGGGAGGCACAGGTGGAGAAGGCTTTTCTCAGCCCCCCCTTGGAGGGCATCCTCATGATGGTGACAACTATGACCACATAGGAGGCCAGGGTGATCAGGAGGCTGCAGGACTCATTGAATAGGGAAATGACCAAACATGCCATCTGGCTGAAAGTCGTGTCAGAGCAAGCTGCAGAAAGGACTGCAGAGTACTCGCAGCCAAAATGATTGATGATGCCGGGTGCACAGTAGGACAGCTGTCCCAGGGAATAAGTAAGTATGGCTGAGCACAGGCCGCCCCACAGATAAGTCCCAGCTATGAGGAGAGAACAGAGCTTGCGGGACATGGCAACTGTGTAGAGCAGAGGATTGCAGACGGCCACCAGCCTGTCGTAGGCCATCACTGCCAGCATAAACATTTCTGTAACCACACAGGCACAGCCAATGAAAAACTGTGTCATACATCCCTCAAAGGAGATAACTTTGCGTTCCACCACTAAGAGCTGTAGAAGTTGTGGTGTGAGTACACTAGAATAACAGATATCCAGAAAAGAAAGATGACTGAGGAAAAAGTACATGGGTGTACGAAGTTTGGGATTGATCCTTCTCACCAAAATCAAGCCCACGTTTCCCATCAGAGCTGTCGCATAACCAATCAAAAACACACAAAAGAGAAGTACCTGCAGATGAGGGTATTCTGAGAAACCCAAGAGGACAAAACTGGTCACGTGGCTCTGGTTGACTTCATCTTGCACCATAGCCAGTTGACACGAAAAAGCAAATGGGAGGCAGAGAACAAAAGGGAGAAAGAAGGGAATCTACCCAGGCTGGATAGCAGCAGTGCTATTGGCTGTTTTTCTCTATTTGGGAGTGTCACTTGAATCCAGACATTCTTATGAGATATTAGTTTCTTTCACCAGCACTGTAGTGTTTTTGTTCCTGGAATAATAAATAGTAGTATATATAAATATTATTTTTATTAAAATGAATCTGTGAATAGATGAGACCTTCATACTAATTCCAGTGCCAGTACATATACTATTCTCTCTCTGTGTATATGTATATACTTACGCAATAATATAAAACAACACAAATAACACTACAAAGCAATATATTATATATACATATATGTATATATACCATTATTGTATATATGTATGCATTGTTTTATATGCATATATAAAACCATAATTTTTATATAGTACATAGGTAAACCCAGCTTTTTGGATTTTTATTTTTTACTGCTACTGGAGTTTGACTAAAGACATCTGTCACAGCTGATGTAATTCTGTCCATGATACCACCTATCCTGAAATGGAGTTGATGTAACTTTTGTTCACAGTACTTCATGAACAAAATTCATTCACATTGAAACTCTTCAATCTATAGTTCTAGACTGTCTGAGGACTTATATAAAACAAATTACTTTGTCATTGAATATTATATTCACATCCATTTTTTTCTTTTTTTTGTCTTCTTAAATAAAATTTGTATTTTGAAAATACCGTACAGAGGGGTTTACAATTACATGAGCAAGGTAACGAATACATTTCTTATGAAGCATTGTTGCCTCTTTCTTTGTTTTTCCCCTACCATCCATTCCCTCCATGGCTCTACCCCCCCACAAAGGTTGTAAAGATTGTTTTTCGACATAACGCCTTGTACATCTCATTGTTGCAATGGGTCGACCTGTATCCCTATTTAAACAATTTGTTTTTCCCTTCCCTTCCCCAAATTATACCAACATCAAATACAATGAAAACTTATTCATAAGGTGATTTTTTGTTGCTTTGTACATCCATCTTTTTTCTGATATGAATTTACAAAGACAGTTTTTAAATTCTTCTAATCTACTAAAATGCTTCTCTTCTCCTTCAAAGGTATACCATTGCCTGTTTTAATGAGAACTTTCCTACATAGCTTTCCTAAGAAAACTTTTCTTATGAATCCTAATATTACTATATTTCTTCATATTTACCTTCTTTGCTCCTAAACATTTTAAGGAAGCTGTAGGCTTATTGTTTCCTGTGTATGTGTATGTATGACTGTGCTGTGTTTTCATTGCGTGGATTAACTGCATCTCATGAAGATAAAATTTACATCGAGGTTTTCGTTTAAAATATTCTTACTGACTGCCACGTTTGGTGTTGCACAATGTAATCCTAGTACTCAGATAGATAAAAACAGAGAATGATCAATTTCAGGCCAGTCTGGGCGATATAGCAAATTTCAGATATTCATATACACACATACCTATTACCTGTATTACATCTTAATAGCATTCAAGAACATGGTTTCAATCTCATTTAAATGGTCCCAAGCACAAAGCAGAGTTCAGGGCTCAGAATATATGCCATTAGTTAAATCAGGCACTTATTAATCTCACTCAGGTCTTGTGGAATTTTTTCACATGGGCTTTTCCTCACAAAAGTGTTTTGAATTTAAATATACCGCAGGTAACCGTATGAAAAAAAAAATATTTGTCTCAGCTAGCTTATCGGCGAGACCAAAATGGATCAACTTTCCAGAGTAGCTCAGAGAAATGAATGAGACATTATCCCTACAATAATTAAAGCAAAAGAGCTGGGGGTATAACTCAAGTGGTAGAATGCTTGTCGGCAAGCACAAGGCTGAGTCCAAAGACTAATGTACACACCAAAGAAAGATAAAGGATTCCATAATAATAGAGCAGCAACTCACCAAAAGCCAGACTATGTAAACTCCCCCTCAAAATTAAAATGTTCTTAAAAAAATGACCCCTTTGTTTAAAGGACTTGATTGTCTCTGGCAAAATAGAATTCTGTAAATGAATCCATTTCTGATGGTTGTTAAAGTGTGAGTGTTCTTGCAGTGTGCATATATGCCACAGGAAGAATCAGACTTGGATATTTTGTTCTGTAGTCGTGTTGTTTGTTCTGTCTGAACTACTTGAGCACTGGGACCCAGACCCTGGAGAATGCTGAGTTTGTTGTCATAAGCTAAAAATAAACTAGAGGAAGATTCCTCTCCTTTCTTCTATATCTGTAATACATAGATCTTCATGTTATAAACAGAAGTCAACCTTGACTATCAGGAGCTTGTGATTTGAGAAATCACAAGAAACATACCATAATTTCAATACAATTGCAGTTGTGCGTCTCCTATTTGTTTAGAAGCATGCATATCATTTTATTTTATTATGCATTATTTTATATTGAATAGGTTTTTGGGCTTGGCTTATTTCCATCACTTCAATCATCTCCCTGCAAGATGTAGATGCACAACCATTTCATATCTACCTCACATGACTCTACATCTGTACTTGTAGTGTGTAAGTCTTCAGGGAAGACAGAGGTGGCAAAGATTGACATTTGAAAAATCCACTTCAGGTTTTGATCATGAAACCTGGGGAAATGCACATGTGCACAGATACTTGAAAACAAAACATGCAAATGTAATTTCCAAGGGTTTGGGTATTCCAGTGTCGCTAGATTTGGAAGAGGTAGGAAGATTCATAGACTACATTTATGTACCTATTTCATGTTTATCTTCACAAGTATGAGCTGGTTTTGTCTTCACATGCTTAGTTTAGTCAAGAGAATAAATGTTTGCTTGGAAGTTTTTGTAGAGAAGTATAACCATCTGTTGGTTACAAAATGCCAAGTGAAGTCAGGGCAGAACTAAATCATGAAAAATGCCTTTTAACAAGTTAAGGAAAAGATCATGTTAAAGCAAATTGTATAGGAAAAGTAATATTTTGCACCTTTTCCCTATTTAATATTGCTTCAAAATAGTACGTGAACAAAATCTAAAGGATAATGATAGCCAACAATGGAAGAATAGAAGCTGAAAAGAATTCCCCTGTGTGAAAATGAATGTTTGTGTGATGCACTCTACCTTGAAATTAATTATGCATGTCACTATGTTGATGTCTCATTCCACACAGTATTCTATTATAATTGTAAATGCCAACTGCCAAAATTTGTTCTACCTGGCTATGCAGGTTTTGGTTAAGGAATCTAGGCATATGATACTAATGTCTTTTCATCTTCCCCTGTGAAGTTAAATTATAGCTTTGAATTATTTTATATGAAACTGTACACCTAACATTAAATTCATAGATTCAATCACGTTGAGCTAGATCAATGAAGAGCATAATTTTCATTACGTTGCCAATAAAAGAAATGCAGATCTGATCTAGGTAGGTCGTATCATCATCGTGGGTTAAAATACAGAAACATTTCAAGGATAGTCTTCATACGTGAAGTTAAAATGTCTTTGTTAGAAAGATGACAAACATTCTGTCTTGGAAGCAATGAGCAACTGGATTGGTTACATAATCTGTCACTTGTACTATCCTAACTGGAATAGTAAGAAACAAAAAAAGATTGATTAATTCATCAGATTGTATTTTATTTTATTTATTTTGCAGGACTGGGTTTAAACTCAGGTTCTGGTGCTCACGCAGCTTCTTTGCTTATGTGGCATTTTAACACTTGAAGCCTTCCTACGCCCCTCCTTTATCTTTGCCAATTTCATTGATAGTCTCATGAATTTTTCTTTCTAGCCAGCCTTCAAACCATATTCTTCTAGGTCTCAGCATCCTGAATACGTAAGTATTCAGGTCGGAGTCATGGGCACCTGGTGCATCTAATACTGTTTTTAATAATGAAGCAAAATGATTTTTTCAAAAGGGAGAAAGTATTTTATTTGTTTAGGACACAAAGATTCCAGTATGCTCATCATCTCTGATAGAAAATGAGGGGAAAACATAGTGCAAATGAGAGTGACAAATTCACAAGAGGAAATTCAGGAAATATAAGAACCCAAGTTTTTTGAACATTAGACAAAACTTCTACAAAAGCAACAGTTAGCCCACAATTATTCCTACTTCAAATACTCAACAAATTACGAGTGAGAAAAGTTATGATGGCATCATGTTTAAAACTACTTCCACTTAAATTCAACATCACATCATGTAAAATTTATTCCACAAACAGAGCAAGTACATTAATTTGATAGTGAGATTCACATAAATACTATATAAATGATGTATTCAGGAATAAGACAAAAAGTATGTGAAAACAATAGGGTATCACTTATTTTGTCTTACCTAGTCAATTTTTGCAGAATGTTTTAAAAAGCATAGTTTTAAAACACGTGCACATATATGTACAGTTTATAGACACATAAATAAAGAGATAGATAAAACAAATTGTATAATTTTTTCCAAAGACATGACACTTTATAGATACCATACATAATACTGTACTGAAAAGTGTTAGCTATGTTTGCAAAGAGGTGGGCAATCTTAATAAAATGGATATGCTGCAATGTATGTATGTAGTAAACATTTATAATTAGTAGTAGAAGGAAATTCTAAAAATAAAAAATTTGAATAATTAAAAAATAAATTTATTGAAATAGTTGTTAAATATTGACTATATATATAAAGGTATACAAACACACACACAACACCCACCATTTAATACACTAGAGTGGAATAATTAATTTATGATATTTTGTTAACTGATAAAATTGATGTGAATCTTTCATTAATATTGCAATACACTACTAGTGTTAGAAACTCCATTTCATACATTAAACAGTACATTGTATAATGCTTTAAAATTTATGTGCTTCCAATATATCTTTCAGAAAACAAGTATGACATAATCAGTTGTATTGAAAAGTCATCATATGGAAATCTCCTTACTGTTCTGTTCAGAAGCTTTTATCATGATTGACAAGACCTTAAGGGCAATGTGAGTTCTTTCTT